TTGTGACAATGTAGCCTACATACATATTAGATTCATATTCTACGAGTGAATTTAACACACTTAATAAACAGTGTAAACATTCTTAACTGACACACGAAAGCTGTTACTGCATAAAATAAATATCGTGGTACCACATTGTGATCAGGCTTGTAAATGCTAAACAGAATGAAATATGGGGACAAAATGATACTATTTTTAGATCATGGAACTATATTTAAAAAGGAAAGCCATTAAGTATCGTCATAATTCTGTTTACAATTATTACATTTCTATACGAGTGCTAGGCTATGCAATTTTTTTTTCCAGGCCCTGTTATTTTCCTTGTCTTATGCCCAAATAATCTGCTCAACACTCTTGGTTTCTTCTGTTTCTATATCACTCATATGGGTTCCCTATTGCAGAACTCGAGGTTTGGCGTCAGTTGTAAAGTCTCGGGGTAAGAGTTCGGTTTGGAGAAATCGAAACTGGTCAATAAGTGTAGTAGTTTGTTCCTTTCAGTTCTTTAGCTCTCCGAGAGAGGAGCAGTGTGGCGCTGCCTGACCTTTAGGTCGCTCACGTTGTGTTCTTTTAATCAATTATTTAAGAGAAGCAAAGCAGCACCGCGTTTTCCCTTATTCTGTATTCATATCCATATGTCGCCTTTTCCTGGCAAGAAAGCAGGTGGAGTGCAATTAGAGATGAAAACCAAGACAGCTACCCGAATTAACATGTTATTTTTTACTGGCAGGAATAATGAGGGGAAAAGCCAAATTACAACTATAACTACGACTATAATTAACCCTGATGATGGGGACAGAGACGGTCCCCGAAACATCGGTTTTATTGTTTAACCATTTGACGCGGCTGATCGCCCGAGAATATTTTATTGAGTTACGTCGCCGTTAAAACTTCAAGTCGTATATAAGAATTGAATATAAATACTCAGGAAGTCAGACGATAAATTTTCAATGAGTTCTGTGGCTGAATATTGCATTTTTTTTGGACATGGCCAAATGTGGGGGACAAAATAAAATGGTTCTTTATGTCTTCTGGTAGATGGAAAGAAATCTGTCTACTTTCTGTTCAAAGCAGATAACGCTAGACCTTATAACCTTTAAAATTACATAATTAACGAACTAACAAAACAATCGAAAGTTCACCGTCGTCTCCACAACAGCCCATTTGACCAGTTTAATCTAGTTTACCTCCTCGAAACCTCTTTATGTCAGATACGGCTTAATAATATCATTTCATTTATTCCTTACCTCACAAGTGATAATTGTTCATGAAGTTTTTTAAATTGTGCACGTAGATCTTATTTTTTTTTTTTTGTAAAATACTTCTATGACACTTACACTTCCGTGTGAGACTTACGTTTAATCCACAATAAGTTATAAACATAATTATACAAATCAACAAAACACGGCGACGGAACGAGACTTTAAGGTAATGTCCGACAAATTTTACAGTCTACAAACACAGATTCCTTAACAATAGTTCCATGACTTTATTTTTCAATTTTTGTTAATTTATATAATTTCAAGAGCCTATATTCAGTGACACTGAGGAAAGCCATATGAACCTGTTAGGCCAATCGGTCTGCGGGTCGAGATTCGAAGCCCGAACCTTTCAAATACGGAGCAGGAGAGCAGCAGTGTGTTGGGCAAGGCCGTGGTCTAGGCAACACGGAGTTTTCCTCCGTGGCATCCCAACAATTACTCCATTCACACACAGAAGAAGGCAATGGCAAACCACTTCTGGATCATCTGTCAAGAACGTATATGAACAGGTCCCAGTCCGAGAAAAGGATGGAAGGATCCTGTTCATATGGACCTGTCATAAGACAGAACACTAAATAAATAAATAAAAAAAAGTAGAGGATTAATGGAACTACACGACTGGATGTTGCAGAAACAACGAAGTCTGAAGACAAGGAATTACTGTTTTTATTTACAAATGGCAACTGCATATAATGAATGAGTACACCAAGATAATATAACATATAAATGAGAAAAATCAAACATAATTACAATACAGTGAACATACAAAGTATACAGATGTGTGATGTTAAGAGTATGATAAGATGTAAATTATCTCTTAACTTACAAAGCTGTCACATCCAGACTAGATTAAAAAAAATACCACGACAAAGTGCAATTCATTCACACCAAAACTGACAGATGATAACAAATCAATTCCAACCCCCGATTTTTGCCAACATAGATATATGTTGTTTAAAAGAATGGCATAATCAGGATACAGATTAATGTTATTTAAAAACACAAATTTTTCGTTCAATTAAAATACCAATAAAACCATTATAGACTACGTAGCATTAGCTTTAATTGTAATTTGTTTACTTTGCATTAATTACTGGTATGCCTTCCAAATGAATACATTTCACGGTTCATGTTGTGTTGCCAGGCCGACAATTATACTGTTTAACGCCGTTTAACTGACACGACACCCTTTTAATTACAACATAACAATATTCGTACTTAACGGGCACGTCAGGCTGGTAGCACGTAGGCTCAAAACACGTATTTATACTCGTGTGCAAATCAGTAGTTAAAATTGAACGGTCTAAATGAATTCTGAAACGGCTCGACACGTTTCCGTAAAATTCTTCCATATTAAATTTAAACAAAACCTATTTATTTGTTCTCCAGTTGTTTCGAGCGTACGGACGGACGGACGGAGCAATTTCATAGGCGCTTCGCACGGTTGCACACGCAAATACATAACGTTTGGCAATTTAACAGACAGCAAATAACACGTTTTAATTTAAATTTATAAATATTCTACAATTCCACTCTTTCTTAATTTCGGAACTTAATAGCGTTAATTTCCACCACATGTACTTAATTGGTGTTATGTAATTCTAGAAATGAAATTAATAAAAGCAACGTAAAAATAATTTTTATATAAGGATTATATGCAGAATTACTGAATGAACGCAAATGTGTGAGTAATACAAATTATTTTAGATTAATTTGGTAAAATGTTTAATCGTTTCTCGTAACAGGAAGCTTAACAAAGAGTAAAATGTCACAGAAAGACAAATAAGGTTAGGAATATGCCACGTTAAGACGACTATACACGAATCACAGAATTCGTTCGATTGACCTCCTGCTCGCACACAATCAGACATTCGCCAAGTCCCGTCTCCTTGGTCTGCATCATTACATTACGCTACATGCAATTTGAACTGATATTCCCAATTCTAAGGCAAGGCAATCTTTTACGTTCTTATGCCCAAGAGGGTACAAAATGATATTATGAAATGGATTTCTGTATTGGGTTTCAGCAACACAACTTGGCAAAAAAGGGGGAGGGGCGTCTTTTACGAACATTAAAACTTACTGCTGCAAAAGTCGGGAACTGGTAAAATGCTTATATTATTAACAATTCGATTCTTACAAATGTAAATGACCCTGACTAGTAGTTTCACCATTATATTAATTGAGACAGACATACTGGGACAATAATACTTTATTCTTCGGTAGTTATAAACATTTATTTCAACATAAATGTTGTCGTACGCAAACCCTTTCGTTTTAATTAAACACATTGCATAGTTACGTTTTATATTCAAATATACTATCTGAAATAGCAAATTTTGTAGATAAAACGATTTCGACAAGAATCTGGCGAAATACACAGAGGACGAGGACGAAGATGGTTCTCGAAACGTAGGTGTTTTCTCCTTTCAACCACCTGACACAGCTGGTAGCACCAGAATAATTCATTATACCTAGTCGCCGCGGAAGGTTCAGATCATACAAATGGTACAGGTATGATAGAAATTATGAATTGTATTGTCTTATTATAAAACCACTACTTTCATTACACAAAAGAATTCAACAAATTAATGAAACTAGTTTATAATTTATCTACTTATGTGTGAATATTAAAGAAACATATTTTTTGGTATTTGAAATATTAAAAATGGCACGGTATGATATCAGTTACATTTTGATTTAAGCCGATCGCTTCTAATACCATCCTGCCATAAAAGGTCCCAGTACGTTTGCTCTTAACCCTTTTTAAATTAAGCAGGCGTTCCATTTGTCTACAATTAGGATATATTATAAGTCAAAATCATAATTCCCACACTACTAATGGAAATGGTTTTGTTTTGACTTTCCT